GCAGCTAACCCTTATCAATAGCTTGGGGCCTTAAGAATGAGCAGAAGATAACACTTATCTCTGCACTGAATGCTTCAGTGACTGAATTCTACAGTTCCAGTCACCGCAAACCAACTAAAGCTGTTTGGTAAAGTTGACCTTCTGTTCCCCATGATGCATGTAGCATACTATGAGCAGACTACGCCACCCATCCTATGTACATTTTTTACTTCAGAGCCACATCTCTGCCCATAATGACCTGAAATGAAGCCCGTCAGCTTCAAGCATAGCTAACCATATACAATTATGGCTTATTTATAGAGTTATTGTGTTGGAAGGGGGTTTGGAGATCTTTTAATCCAACCGTCTGCCCAAAACAGGAATCCTCAGACCATCACAGACAAACGACTGTCCAATCTTTGCTTGAAAACCCTCCAGTGATGGAAAACCCACAATTCCAGGGAGCAGGCTGTCCTACTGCATAATAGCATTCACAGTCATGATATTCCCCCTTACTCTGAGTTGGGATCTCTCACAATAAAACTTCCACCCATTAAAGTCATCTTGAAGAAAAAAGAAAAACCCGAATTCACTTTAAGCAGCTTTTGGCATGCAATGATAACAGTTGTATAGAATGTGTTTGTTTTTCCCCCGAAACAGCTGGATACTGATCTGATAAAAGGAAAGGTATGTGGTCTGCCTGGCCTTTTTGTTGAAATAGATATAATCTATGTCTTTCCACTAGGTGTATGTGACACACCATTTCTAGTTCACCAGTTCTGCAAGAGCAGGTGGGCTTGAAGCCTGCGTGAGCTCATGCATAGCACCTCGTGGGGATGCCTTAAACCAAATCTGCTTCAAAGTGTCCCAGACAGGAGCTCCCCACATACCCACAGCTCTATACACTTGGACTTTCAAATCCAGAACTCTGGACACTTCTTATAAACAGTAACTTTATGGCTGGATCCATTTTCATCAAGAAGATGGCCTGAAAGTGGATTAAATGCATTTATTTTGAAACTACTATATGGTAGTCCTTTGGGTTCGCTGTTGTGCAATTCATCTGTGGACACGGAGGTGGCTCTGCAGTCCCAGTATGGAAGCACAGAATCTAGCACAATGGGGGCACTGGAAGTCCATTGTAGTAACTGGAGGTCTTGGATCATGCAGAGTCCACCAGCACTGAGTCCCTGATTATCAGAGCCGAGATGAGGTGGGTGGGACAGGTCATCAGAATGGATGACCACCATATGCCTTGCCAGTTGCCCTATAGTGTACTGGAGTCTGAGAAGAGACCTCGAGGTCCACCATGCAAGCGCTACAAAGACGCTGTGAAAGAAACCCTCCACCACCTTGACATCCAACCAAGGGAACTAGAAGCTGCAGCTGCTGATAGAACCTGCTGCCAAGCCCTGTGCTATGAAGCCTCCACCGGCTTTGAAGAACTGATAGAAAACCGTGAGTGGAATCACAGAATAACACTCATAGTCACTACGACAATGAAACTATTATTGTACTCTTTAATAACATAAAACTCTCACAATAGCTACTAAATCCCAAAGTACTTTTAAAATCTTCATAACAACCCTGCAGTGCAGGTTATTTATTTGTACTTATTGATTAGATCAATTTATATGGCTGCCCAACTCTCACTTGTGATTTTGGCAGCAAACATAGAATTAAAAGGCCCACAGTATCAAATATACAGCAGAAAATAGTATAAATGGAAATCACACCCAAGGCCCTTAACTCCCACAAACACAAAAGCACATAAAACAGGCTCAGGTGACATTTTGTTCCTATGTCCAGGAAAACAACCATATATTTAATGTTTTGCAAAAAACCTAGCAGAGTCAGGGCCATACAAATCTCAGGGAGGAAGGGGAGGGGAAGGCTGTTCCACAACAGAGAAGGCAACCTTGCACACTTCCACTTCAACAATTAAACAATTGTTTAATAGACAGGACCTGAAGCATGTCCACTCTATGAGATCTGGTGGGATGGGCAGAAATAATTGGAGACAAGCAGTCCTGCAAATAAACTGGTTCTATGCCATGAAAGGCTTTGTGGGTGACAACTAGCACCTTAAATTGCACCCAGAAGCCTTCTGGGAGCCAGCTCAGCTCACAAGGTAGTAATGTAACATGAGCATACTAATGTACCCATAACTTCTTACACTGCTGTGTTCTGAACCAGTTGAAGTTTCCAAACTCTATTCAAGAGCAGCCCCACATAGCGGGGCTATAGTAATAGCCCACCAGGTAGTCCATCTGGGAGGTGATCAAGGCACAACTGACTTTGTGAGCAGTGCCTCCAGATCCAAGAATGGGAGCAACTGGTACATGAGATAGATCCGTGCAAAGGCCCTGTTGGCCCTGCTGCCACCTTCTCTTTGAACAGGAGCCCTGAGTTCAGGAGGACTCCCAAATTACACACCAGTTCTGTCTGGGGAAAGTGGTAGGGAAAGTGCCATCCCACTGAGAACTAAAGATGGAAAGTCCTTGGATCCAGAGGACCCTAAAACCCAAGGACACTTAGGTTAGGGTTTTACTGAAGGGTTGAACTGAAGCCTGTTCTTCCCCATCCAGACCCCCACAGCCTCCAGACTCCAAGTAATTGACAGTATCACTTGATTGGCATGGAGTAGGAATGTACCGTATATCATCAGCATACTTCACCAAGTGGCTTCATATAGATGTTAAACAGGAATGGGGGGAGTATAGGGCCCTGAAGAATACTGTAAAGCAGAGATTTAGGGCTGGAACTCCCCTCCCCTCCCCACCCCAACACCAAGTGGAGCCAGCCCTGGAGGAAGGAAGAAAACCACTGCAACACCACGCCCCTCATTCCTAACCCCCCATAGCTGGTACAGAAGGATACCATGACTGATGGTATTGAAAGCTGCTAAGAGATCAAGGAGAGCCAGAATGGCTCTCCATCCTACTCCCACCAGAGGTCATCCACAGGTACAATCAATGCTGTTTCAGTACTATATCCAGGCCTGAAACCTGCCTGAAAAAGATCCAGATAATCTGCTCCTCCAGAGCTCTCCAAAGCTGCAATCCAACCACCTTCTCAGCAAATTTCCATTAGAAGGGAAGTTTGGAGACAGGACAAAAGTTGTTGAATACTGTTGTGTTCAGCAATGGCTTCTTGAGGACCACTGCTTCCTTAAGTGCAAACAAAACCCATCCCTCCAAGGGTGAATTTATCACCATCTGGACCCAACCATATGTCATCTCTTGGGAAACCTTAGCTAACCAGGAGGGACAGTGATCTAATATACAAGTGGCTGAGCTCCCAGCCCTGAGGATCCTGTCAGGACTAGCAGGTTCAAACTCTTCTTAGATAACCATATCAGACAGCACTTTGATCAACTCCACAGGGCCTGCACAGCCAGAGCCCAACTTGGAGGGAACCTGAGCAACTTTATCTGAGAGATGTCTTGAGTATGCCCCACAGCAACCCTGCAGGTATTCCTCTGACTCTGGAGGGACTGAGTCACCTCTGTGGATAAGAGCAGAAAAACAGTTATGCTGTTTTGGCCTGAGGCCCCTTCCATATACGAGGGAAGTGCTGTAAAGTATTGTTTTTCAATATCCTCCAGAACCACACAGAAGGCTGTTTTCCACTGGTGGGACCTTCTGCTTTGGCTTGATTCCTAGGATTTCCTTTCTCTTCCCTGTAGCCAGAGAGTTGTGGTGCCCTGCTAACACCCCCTTTTCCCACTGGTCATTCTGAGAATAGCTTCGCTGGTCCCCTTAAACAGTTGCTGGTTGGGTTTTTCCTTTTCTTTCTTCCCCCTAAACACAGGAAGGGATGAAAAGAAGGCGTGTGCAAACCCTCCCATTAGCCAGCTAAGAGAACAATGATCAGCTCAGTGGCAGGAGAGAATATAGCAATGAAAGCCCTCATCTAGGGACCTGAAACTGCTGCCAAGAATTTGAGGAATGAAACTGGTGCCCATGTGGAAGTGCCCCCAATGAGGTGCATAATGCTAGTGTGGTGTAGTGGTTAAAGTACTAGATTGTAATCAAAGTTTTAGCTCTGATATTCATCCAGTACACTCTAACCACTATAGTATCACCACACTAGGTCTCTCTCAAATCCTTTTCTTCTCCTTTTCTTCATGATTTTTTTACAATGAAAAATATTTCAACTTTTCTCTCCTAAGATCAAGATAGACAAATCCATGTGAAATGAAATGCAGTAAAAACCCTTGTCTAAACCCAAGTTTATTCTGTGAGCTTATATTAGCAAAGGGAAAGGAACTTGACATATTTAGAGAGTAAAACGTAGTCCTGCAGTATTTGGTATTGGGGTTAATATAAAGCAGTGTTTCTCAACCTTAGCAACTTTAAGATGTGTGAACTTCAACTCCCAGAATTCCCCAGCCAGCATGCTGGGAATTCTTCATATGAATATTGGGGTTAAGCTTTTAAAAAGGAAATGGGAGAAGCAGAGAAGTGCTCCAGGGGAGACAGAAAGTGGTCCTATTTGGTGGGGTTGAATGAGAGCCTTTTTAGGAAAGCAAGTGGCTGAGCCCTACACGTGGAGTGTCCCCAAAATATAGTTCAGGGTTTGATATGATCATTCAGGATGAGATATTCTATTCAAGACAGTAAAACTATGTTAAAAATAATTCCTGATTTTAGGTTTCCCCATATATTCCCATTTACTGACCTCAATGTACAAAAAATAACAGAGGAAAAATGGCATTTGTTCCCAGGTCTCTCAGTCTTTAAAAGGGCCAGTGTATGTCCCTTTTTCTGTATAACCCATGTGTGGTTTTATAACAAGGGTGAAGGATCTGTGGCCTTCCAAACAATGATGGACTCAAAGTTCCATCACCTGCAGCCATGAGGGCCACCAGTCAAAGACAATGGTGGTTAAAGTCTTCTAGCACCCAAGGGCTCCAATTCTTCCATCTCCCACATCCTTTTACAAGGAAAGCTTCCTTAAAATTTTCTGACCAATCAAACCTTCCTAAAGATGTGAATTATTTCTTACACGAGACTCACCACAATCTGGGTTTCATTGTCTGTCAGAGTGTCAATAGTCAAACTCCTTCCTGCAAAATCTTGGCTGATCTGTGTCCTTTTGTCTTCAGGTGTGGTTTCCCGAGTCTTTCGCCCCCAGGTGTGAGAATGTACTCCTGTGATAGCTCCAGGTCCCTGGGTCCAACCTTTAGGAAAAGAATTAAAATTATGACATACCTATGTTAGGAAGGCCTTTTAAGATAATTTTAAAAATTGCTGTTTGTTCATCAACGGTTTTGATATATAAAACAATAAGACCTATTTCTCTGAGCCAGAAGAGAATAGTTCCAGGATGAGTCATCTATGACCCTGAATCTCTTCTTGATGGCTGCTGGAATCTTCCAGCATCATATCGCTGAAATTTGGCAGTCCCAAGATACTGAAGGGCCAAACTTGGTAGGACTTTATAGGTTAAAAACAGTGCTTTGAATTGTACCCAGAAACCTACTGAAGCCAATGCAGCACCCACAATACAAGTGTTAGGTGGCTGTAGCAACTCACTCCCAGCATGCAAGCTGTTGCAGTCTGCATCAACTGTAGTTTCCAAATCTTCAAAGGCAGCTCTGTGTAAAGCACATTGCAGTAGTCTAGTCATCATGAGTTGTCTTGGCCTCCTGCTCCACATAGGGGTGCAGTGGTGCACCAGCCAGATCTGGACAAAGGCACTATGGCTTCCACCTATGAATCCAGCAGTAGCTGTGAGTCCAAGAGGACTCCCAAGTTGCAGGCCTACTCCTTCCAGCGGGCAGCTCCCAACCCAAGTTAGGTCACAACAGACAGGGAGGGTTCTGAAGAAAAAGCAACTCCATCTTCTTAGGGGGTCAGCTTTAGCCTGTTCCATCCCATCCAGACCCTTGCAGCCTCCAGACCCCAAGTCAAGACTTCTGCTTCCATAAGCTCTTTGGCCTAGCTTAAAGTGGAGACTTAGCTGTCAACATGCAGACAGATAACTTCTCCCAATGGTTTCATGTAGGGATTAAAGGGGGGTGAGAATAGGGTTACCAGATATCTGAACAGCCAAAAGGGGACACAGATAATTGGAAATGAGGACAATTGGGGGGAAAAGGAGGACACACTAACTTCAATTTTCTTGGCATCCGTGACAAAAATTACATTAAAAAACTGCAAAAAATGTACTAAGCCTACATGTATATGAAATTATTTTTCCAGCGTCGGAAAGACTGATTTTTCAATCATAATATTTTTCTAACAAATCTTGATCTTCAAGAACATATGCTAGTGATAATAGAGAATCGACAACATGCTTTTAAAATTTCACCACAGAAATGTGTGACGAGTCATGCGATCTGTAGATGACTGTGATCATGGATTTGAAGCTGATTGCGAGAATCAGGAATTAAATTAAGTAATGTAAACCTAGGCTGTTGGGTCTGTTGATGGATGAGGGAAAAAAAGGAGATAATTTACAAGGTCACAATACACTAAAGTTTGAATTACTGTTCTTGTGAAAACATTCCAATTTTTTTTAAAAAGCAAGACACTCAAAAAGCCAGACAATATTTGATTGTAAAGGTATGCCTGCCAGACGGAGGACATGAAGACAAAAAGGAGAACATGTCCTCCTTCTGCCAGATATGTATGTGTGAAGAAAAATATGCACAGATAATTGTAAATATCTATACATGTGTGTGTAGCTCCCAGTCTAGCTA